AGATGATGTTGATTGATCTCAGTTACTAAATTGCAGTCTGTAAACATGAAACAAGCCAATTTGTTGATGATCATTTGAGAGTCCTTAGAGGAAAGAAATCTAATGAGATTATTGATCTGTACATGTGTGTAGACATGCCTGAACAGTTTCCTTACAGACATCCTTCTCTCCTGGTCACTTTCCTGTCCTTGAGGCCTTGTGGTAAGGTTTCAGGGCCATAGTTTCCTTTCCCTCTTCAGGCTTTATCACCTGGTGGAGTTCCATTGGTTTATTGTCCACCACGCTCCTTGTTTTTCAGTGCTCAAATTTTCCGACCAGTTTAACCTATGGTTGGGACAGAAAACTTTAGCTCTTCAGGGAGCTCTTGCAGAAACACAATTGTTTGGAGTTGGTGAATTTCTGCGTCACTATCAGTAAACAGCTTGTTTCATGCCTCTTTACAGAGCCCAGGCCAGTATTATTTTAAACCCATGATGAAAGAGTTTCGCTTTGAACCATCATCACAAATGATTGAAGTGCAGGAAGGACAAAATCTTAAAATTCGGGTAACTGGTTACAGAACAGCTTACAGGTCAGTAGAGCTGAAATGCTGTGCAAAATGTGATGTACTGTATCAGGATGCATTATGCAAAATGTGTGTTTTCTCCTGATACACCTCTGTTCTGAAGGTTTGGAGGGTACTTTCAAAGGCACAATTTAACTTTATTATGCTGTGTATAAGTACTTTTTTTGGCCTTTTCTCATGCATGTGGATATATAGCTAAGCCCAGATGACAGGACACTGCGATGAAAGCGCTGTGTCAGTGGCACTGGAAGTGGCTTGTGCTATGTCCATTGGGAGAGGAGAGACTACTCTAGGGACAGTAGATCAATTCAGGTATCTGACTTCAAGATCCTTTCCTTGCCCTTAGGGGTAAGTGCTGCCATTCATGGAGGTCACGGAACTTTGATTCCTGAATTGTGCTCTGAGCTGCGGCTAATTCTAATGCTTTAAACAGTTTTACATCTACATTATAAATTCTTTTCTTCTCCATGCTCTGCTAAATATATTAAGTACTTTTTCCATCAGCAATAACAATAAAATATCCTTAAAATGTGCATTAAAACGGCATCTGCACATCTGTAGCAATTGGTTCTGTTTATACCTCTAGCTGTTACGGCACAGTTTCTTCTTTAAATGGGGAGCCTGAGCAGGGAGTCTCAGTAGAAGCTGTGGGGCAGAAGGATTGTAGCATCTATGGAGAAGACACAGTAACTGATGAAGAGGGCAAATTCAGGCTACGTGGCCTTCTGGTAAGGATTAGAATGCTCTCTGTCATTTACTTTTATGTTAGCATGCTAATGGAGTAATAAAAGGTGTTTTATTAATTAGCTACCAATTTCTGTTTTCTCATCACATTTGCTGGCTCAGATTCCCTCGAGTCTCACTGTGTTAGGAAACACTGTCATGTAGTGAACATTCATTCTCGTAAAGGGGAAAAACCTTTTAGTATAAGTCTGTGGAACTTGCAGCCAGCATACTGTGATGGCCTCCCACAAACACTGGATGGTTTGCATGACGTGACACAAGCCCCCGCTCAAGGTACTGAATGTGTCTAACAGGTGTTCAGGAGTTATAGCAGGGAATTTTCTTAGGCAAAAGAATTTGGGGAAGCATTTAGTTTCTCTTGTGAAAACACTGTGACAGCATGGTTTTAGCAGGATATTGGGTGTATGTATGATGTTGATTGTACAGCATGTATGTGAAGTAAGCTGTTCTGCAGGAAACATGAAAGCTGGGTTTATGGGACCACTATGTATGGAGTAAGGACTTTGCTGAAGTAGAAAGCCGTATTTGATCAGGTTTTAATCCTGTTTAATGTATTTTCTTTCTAGCTAAAACACTTCACAGCAGATGATTTAATACTGTAATGTAATAAACTAGTGAAAGTTCTGTGATAGCCCTTTTGTATTTGCTGGCAGTAAGCACCCCTAATAGTGTTATTGAGTTAAGTTTTCTATTTAGGATAAGGAAAACTTTAACTGGATAGAGTTAGATCTGTTTGGGTAGTGCATCTTAAATGTTAGAAAATTCTCTTTCTTTTTTCTAAAATTAAAGTATGTATTATTCAGTGTTGGGATTTATCATCCGAATGTTGCTTTTAGCCTGGCTGTGTGTATCATGTCCAACTCAAAGCTGAAGGCAATGATCACATTGAAAGAGCTTTACCACAGCATCGGGCAATTGAGGTAATTTTTTCTCTTTTTGTAGTATCACTTAAATATGAAATGCATCTGTCTAAGCATTATGTCTTTTCTATCAGCAGCAATGTATTTGAA